GCTCCTTTAGTATAATATAAATCTTTAAAATTGTAATAAAAGTAAATAAATGATTTAAATCCTTTAATATTTAAGCGTCACTTCAAATCTCATAATACCAGTTTTGGCATCAATATCATGAAAGTTGAAACTTCCTTTAGACTTTTAAAAATGCTGCCTAAAAATGAATCTACACTATCAGAAAGCAGGTCGAATCAGCACAGTGTGACGTGTGGGGAGGATTGATTGCAAAGATGCGCAAGGAACTTCTTTGGGTCATAAAAGTATATGAGGTTGTCAAAGCTCATCTAACTGTGTGCTGAAAGTGGGTGTACTTCATTGTATGTAGATTATACTGCAGTTATATCTGGTTTTTAAAATGTCCCTTCATGTTGTACCATGCAACTTAATTGAAGCTATGTATGACCTTTAACCATTGAGCTGTTGTTTTTAGATGCTGCCAAGTTGGTTCTGACCCATAGTGACCCTGTATAGGGTTTCCCAGGAGCACCTGATGAGCTTGAACCGTTGACCTTGTGGTCCAAACTGACTTTGCAATCCAGTGCATTAACCCACAGTGCCACACCAGGACTCAGGATTCCCTTTTCTGTCCCTTCCCCTACTAACTCCATTATTACTAAACCAGTCATTAGACTATTAATGTCAGACAAAAATCCAGAATAACAGCAAAGTGAGTTTCAGGAGCTGCTGAAGTGTGTGGAGTATCTCACCACTGCCTGCTGCCTGAGGGTAATGCTTGAGAAATCCAGCAAGATCTCCCTGGTGACCCTGTCTCAGACAAGAGAGAGAAACCAACAGATAATCGCTTTGCAAACGTATTTCAAATTCCTTTCTGACAGTTGTTGCGAAGCTCTTTGGTGAACAACAGAACCCAGGCCAAGGTAGCGGAGGAGCTGGGCATGCAGGAGTATGCCATCACCAATGACAAAACCAAGAGGCCCGTGGCCCTCAGGACCAAAACCTTGGCAGACCTTTTGGAATGTGAGTGCATCAAAGGAAACCTTTTATCTTAACCCATGGGGTCGAGATTTAAATCAAATTGACCTTCACTTTCCACTTTCTTCTCATTATTATGTTCTGGCTAAAAAACCTCTTTTCTGTTTTAATTTTCGTGTATGCTTTCTCGAAAACTTGTTTGAAGGAGAATAATTGGGAATTAAGACATGTGAATAATGAATTTTATATTCAGCCTTGTGTTTAGTGGAAACCATCTCGTGCCCTCATCCCCCTAGCCATCAGTTCTCTTTGTGTAAAACAGTACAGAATGGTAATTGTTAATCACAGCTTTTTTCACTAAGTGCTAAAATCATTCTCTATTGTTTTGAATGAGCTCAAAGCTCTACCGACAAATGTCATTTTCAATGTTTCTAAAATGGTCTGGTAACATTCCAAATAATCCTATTATAGCAAACTAAAGGATTGTCCACATAATTTTGAGGCTCTTCTATTAGTCACTAGGCCTTAGTACCTTTTTTAAAAATGTTATGGTATATTTGCCATTATATATAAATATTAAGGCTTTCATACAAAATGAGCTCATTTACGAAATGTGGAGGCAATTTGGCTTTGGAACTTTAAAGGAGTTCTTTTTCAACTAAAAAGGGTAATTGAAAAATTAATATTTTTTGAAAATAAATTAAGCTGACAGATCATCTCTGGTTCTTTATTTATTCACTCACTGAAAGATGATATTTTCATTCCTTAAAAAAAAAAAAAGAACCGAACTTACCCTTTGTTTACTTGATTAAGATACCTTTTAATGAATTCACCTTTGGAAATCATCATTTATTTATGCAAAGTAGAATATATTTATATCATCCTCATTAAGATTTTGTGTCTTTGGAAAGATCATCTATAAATTCTGTCCATGAAACTTAACATAGACTCCACGTAAATGGGAGATTTTCTCAAGATGGATGTTGAGAATGGCAGGCCTCAAGGATGTGCTCATTCTGATGTCAGAGCGGATCTTCCAGTTGTCTGTTGATTTATTTGATGTTAGCATGGTGTGGTTCTGAATAGATACTGTCTCTGCTCTGTGGCAGGATTTCATGAATCATTTTGGCTCATCGTTTAGCCCTGTTTGCTGAATACAATTTTGGTCCTTGTGCTCTGAACTCTACAGTTCGGCATCTTAACCACAGACCTGTGTTGCTGCTTCTAATACTGGTCATTAAGAGTAGAATCTTGTTTGAAGAAAGATGAAATGGTTGAAAACCATATTAAAATGTTATTTAAGTTCTCTTCCTCTTCTGGGAAAGGGCACTGAATCACAGTTTATTTTTAAATGTTCTTTTTTCCAGCATTCATTGCAGCGCTATACATTGATAAGGATTTGGAGTATGTTCATACTTTCATGAATGTCTGTTTCTTTCCACGATTAAAAGTAAGCACATATATAGTGTAAATTAGTAGCATGCTTTATGGCTGGTGATTCCAGAAGCCATTACTAACTCCTTTTTGGGGACTTACTGTAGGAGTTCATCCTGAATCAGGATTGGAATGACCCCAAATCTCAGCTTCAGCAATGCTGCTTGACACTTAGGACAGAAGGCAAAGAACCCGACATCCCTCTGTACAAGTAAGTACTCTCTGCCCATGGGCGCTGCGTCCAGCCTGCTTAGAGTGACCTCCCAGTGACTGAAGGGACGGTGCTCGGTGTAGCAGGAGCCCTGGGCTGAGTCTCTGATGCTCAGAGTTCTGGAGAAATTATTTGGGCCTCGGTCCCTTTAGCCATATACAAGTTGTACAAGTTTCTCCCATCTCTAAAGTTCTCTGGGCACCACAGCCTGATAGGAAGACACACTCAGATGATGAGAGATAGATTAAAATTCCGATTAAATAGATTCTATATATAATTTAAAAATATTATAGTGAAATATCTATCACAAAATGTTTGCCATTTTGACGGTTTTTAAGCGTATAGCTCAGTGTCCAAAATTATGTGCACAATTTTATATGCATTTCTCTGCTTGCCTGCTTCTTTCTTATAACCGGTTTAGAGCTGTACATCTAGATTATCAGGCGGCGTGTGTTTGGGTGTCTCTCTTCGCACGCTTGACTGCTCCCTCCATTGCCTGGTAGCTGTGCTGCCTCCCTCAGCTGGGCTCAGTGAGTTAGGTGTTGGGCTCCTAATGGGAAGGTAGGCAGTTCAGACTCTCCAGTTTCTCCTGGGGAGAAAGATAGGCAGTCTGCTTCCATAAAATGTGCAGCCTCAGAAATGCCGTGGAGCAGTTCTAGCCTGCCCTGTGTGGTCGCTATGGGTCAGAATCGACTTCATGGCAGTGTGGGGGTTTTTTTTGTTTCTTTGTTTGTTTTAGCTTCAAGTGATCGGTATAGGAAGCAAGGAAGTCTTTCTTGGGTGCTGCGTTACTGCAATATTTGGAATTTTTCTTCTCAGTGTCTGTATCAAAGGCTGCCACATACTTTAGATATCTTTAGTGACAAATCTTTATCCTTTTTGAGTGGTAGGCAAAAGTCATTCAGAAGGAACCCGGATGAGTTGTGGGTCACTGTACCATATAATAACCATGTGGTGATGACAACAGGAGCTTTAACTCTGAGCTAGAGTCATTATCTGGGTCTCCAACATTCAATGTGTTGGTTCAGGATATGGTTTTAAAGAATGGAAGGAAGACTGAACCAGGCAGGTTGCCTCCCAGGTATTGTGTCTGGAAGTGCAACTTTAAATATGTTTAAGAATCTAATTTTGGTCCCGTTTGACTCCTTCCCTGTGTACACATGTAGTTGCAAACATACACACTTGTGTGTGTTTTCCATCTGGAATGAAAGCCCCCTTTGGAGTCCTTCAGATGTGAAAGCTCTTAAAGAAAAGCACAAGTAGAACAGCTGGGAATTTAAAATACTTTTTCATGTTTTCATTTAATACACTTTCTAGGTATTTTTCCCCTGAAAGAAAAACTGAGTCCAAGAGAGTTAACCAAGAAAAGGTTAAGTCACCTTGAAGCAAGCTATTACAAATAGTCCCAAAGAGCCATTGCTGCTAAACATTGTTTTCTGTATTTATTGGGGAAAAAAATAAATGCTTGGAAATAACAGTTTTATGTGTGCCTAATAAGCATAATGAATATCCAAACTTTATTATATGCAATGATCAGAGTATTCCCTCATCAAAGTGATAATTAAGGTTCAGTAAGTGAAACAAGGATGATAAACTTCTCATAGCAGAACCACAAGCCTGGTACTGAGCTCTACCTTAAAGAAGTTCTCCGTGTCCTTTCAGCCTGTGGGGTACATAAATGCAAAGGAAATTACTGTTCTCCTCCTCATAAATCCCCCACATGAAAGTGCATGATGTGTTTGTTCCGTTTTATCAAGATGGTGGAGTTGTTTTGCATAGTTTTTATTATTATTATTATTTAAAATTGCTGTGTTCATCCCATTATCTTTGTTGGCTTCTTTTAATTTCCCTTTTCCATGAAGCTATCAGTTTCCCTGCATTTGAAATCTGCACTGAGTCATTAAAATCCAGAGGACCTAGTGCTTTGTTTTTGGGCAACCGTGTTGTGTACCTGATGTTATAGCGTACCTTTGATATGTCTCAGATATTTCAGAAATTAAATATTTGAAATATCTAAGACATTTCAGAAACTAAATACATTTTCTGATCTTTCAGATAAGATACTAGTCGTTAGCAAGACTCCTTGATGCAAAACCATTCAGGCTTGGCTTGAGGTGTATTGTTGTTGTTGTTAAGTGTCGTCGAATAGGTTCCAACTCATAGTGATCCTGTATAGGGTTTCCGAGAGGTGGCTGGCGAGTTTGTAACGCCGACCTTGCAGCTGAAACCAACTTTGCAGTCCAGAGCATTAACCCGCAGCACCACACCAGGACTCTCAGAGATTATTGTTTGATTGTTTTCAGTAAAATTAATAATAAATAAATAACAGCCTATATCTGTTGACTTTTCACTGATTAAAGTTTGTTAATTTTATGACACTTGGAATATGCATACTGTTTAGTCTTCAGATATTAGTCACATTCCTTTGGGAAACAATAAAGATCCAATGCAGAATTGAGTGAATTTTCTGCTTCAGAAGGTGTCTTAGATTAAGCCACTCAGAAATGTATCATCCCTTTACTTTTCTGCCATTATCACTGTTTTGTGACTTTCACCTTCCTCTGTCTGAGTTCCTGAGTTTTCTCTGAGCAGTAGAAAGCTTTACCATCATTGATACTCATTGTGTTGCGTTTCAGGACACTGCAGACAGTGGGGCCATCCCACGCCAGGACCTACACTGTGGCTGTTTATTTCAAGGGAGAGAGAATAGGCTGTGGCAAAGGACCAAGGTATGAGAAGAAGAAGATTCTTTCCTTCTTTCAAGGACCATCCTGTGTGTCTGAGAGGTCCAAACTCTGTTGCTGTTTTTTATTTACACAATTTTTTTAAAAATTTAGTGTATAGAATGCTTGAGGGTAATAGCCAAGTAGATCCTAACCATTAATGTTCTCACCAAGCCCCAAGCAGTGTGTCATTGTGTAATGGGCTTTGGCTACCTTGAGAAAAACTCCATCACCTGCTGCCTAGTAAGGTCTGTCCACTTTTAGTTGCCCAACAGAGAGTACCGTGATGCAAGCATTTGATGAGATGTGAAAAGGTGCCCTGCAGCGCAAACCTTTGGTGTCCCCTACTTCCTTGAGCTCTGTGGAAGTGGTAGCATCTTCATGTAAAAAGAATTAGGTATATTGTCACCTTCCTTTGAAGTTTTAATTTCAAATCTCTGTATGCATGTGTAGATGAAGGGGCTTCAAAAGTTCGTGGAAAAATTATAATATCTCTTCATTCCATTTTTCCTTAAATTTCTTGAAGCTCCTTCACGTGTGTGTGTGTGTGTGTGTCTTATGTATGTATATATTTGTTCTTTGCCTCTTTAAACTACACTGAGGGTAGTCAAACTGGAATAAGACCTGAAGTAAATGGAAGGCATCTTACTGCAATATTAAAAGTGTGGAACGAATAGCTTAAATAGGCTTTGTGTCAATAAATGCAAGCCTGCGTGCTCCTGTGTATACTCCTATCTGTGCAATTGGGGATGTGACAGGAGAGCAATCAGATAAGATGTTATGCACTCAACGTGAAAAGCCACCTGAAGGATTTATAGCCACGCCTTGCAGGTTTGAAATAAATTTTTAGATTAAAGTATACCTTGCCTTTATTTTTTTTACATAGTATTCAGCAAGCGGAAATGGGAGCAGCAATGGATGCGCTTGAAAAATGTAAGCCTATCTCTTTTTCTTTAATTATATGTTCATCATGTAATGAGTGTTTTATGGAAAGAAAATGGGGAAATAGAAAAATGGTGAGTACTGATAAAATGTGATGTCATTTTCTTCCTAATTATTTTCCACATGGTTTAATAGAATGTGAAATATATAGGAAATGGGCTTTTAATTAAAAAAAAAAAAAATGATTCCCAAGTGCTTTTGGATATTCATTTTCCCTTTTTTTTTTTTTTCATAAAGTGCTACTCCCAGACCGAGTTACCCATGTGAACAACCTAGTTTGTTTCCCTCCATATTTTTCTCTATAGTGCTAAGATCTTATCCAACAGAACAAGAGCACATGTGAAAGCTTTTTCTTTTTTTTTTTTGGTATTGTTTTATTGACACAGGATGAAATTAACATAGTTGTCTGCATTATTCTATTCTCACTCAATGATTACACCTACTTCTCACTTATCAACATCATTCAACATCTTGCATTTCCAAACAATGGGGAATAAACTGTTTTGAGCATTACCAGCGTACATGTACAGCGCTGTGCAAGGGCGCTGTGACAGCAGCTGTGATGCCTGTGGCCAGTTTGGCTGGGCCATGATTCAGAGCGGTTTGACATTTACGCAGTAATGAAATTGGCAGTCATGTAATAAACGGTCCAGGCATCCTCGAGTTTGAGATCTGATGTGCTCACCCTCCTTTTTTTGCATTTTTGTATTACCCCAATGTTTTGCATAATGACATGGTCTTTGGAACCTAACCATGTCAAGAAGTTGAGAAGTGGACGGATATCATAAATAGCCCACTGCAAGTTGTCTGGAATGGCTCCAGCGCATTCTTTCCTGATGGCTGTGTAATACTGTGGAGGCCTGGTGTGGCACTGTGGGGTAATGCACTGGACTGCAAAGTCAGTTTGAACTGCAAGGTCAGCGGTTCAACCTCACTCACTGTATCTTGGAAACCCTATACAGGGCCCCTGTGGGTAGGAACTGACTTGACAGCACTTAACAACAACAACAACAACAACAACTCTGGATAGGTTGCATTTTATTCGATTCATAGATACTTGTTCCTGGCTTTATAACACTATAGAAAAGAAAGGTCTATATATTGATGTTTTTAGGTCTTGGGAAGGATTCCCAATTTTGGGATGGCCTGATTGAAGAAACTCAAATGGCATAATTGATCACAAAGGAAACTGCATAGTCTTCTGTAAATTGAAGGCTTAAGCACAAGGAATAGCTCTTCCGAGATACATTGTGCCGAAGCCCCCACAGGCAAACCATGACGGTGCAATTCTATGAAGATTCAAGTACGCAGACTCACTGAGGTCAGGGAGAGCAAAGTGCCCGCCCCAGATTCTCAGCCTTGGGAGACATTCCAGGAGAGGCAAGGGCACAGGAACTAAGTGGAAATTAGTAGGAACATATCTGATGAGAGAGAGCAGATAGTTACAGGGGATAGCAAGGAGCTAATCCTGCCATGGCCCACAGTCCATGGAATCTTCACTCAGGGTGTTAAGTTGACTCTTGGCAAATTTTTCAGCCATTAAAGGGGGCTTCATTTCCATTCATGGAAAATGGAATGAAAAGATAATGGAGCTTTTTTGAAGCCTTCTCATATATAAATGCATAATCACATATTGAAATAAGAGTGACGCTCCATTTTCACTTAGAAAATGGTTAAAGGTAATCTTCGTTTTGTGTGTGTTTTTTTGTTTGTTTTGTTTTGATTTTTTTAAACTTTGTTTCCAACTGTAAAATGGTTCTGGAAAGATGGCTTATTCTGAAGCAAAACTCTGTATGCATCCCGGTAGAAGTGGTTGATTTAAGTATGTTAGAAAGCAGTTTGATGGTCTATACCAGGCTCTTGAAGAAAGTCTTCACCTCTGATCCAGAGCTCCATCACTGTGAATGAGACTTGAGGAAATCATTGGAAAATGAACTCAGATTTACGTACCATGATAATTGCGATGTTATTTGTAATATCAAAGTACTGTTTGCATGTTGAACAGTACTTGCCCTAAAAAGCAAACAAACCCCATTGCCATCTAGTTGATTCTAATTCGTAGTGACCCTAGAGATCATAAGCGAACTGCCCCATGTGGTTTCTAAGGCTGTAATGTTTACAGAAGTAGATTACCAGTTCTTTTTCCTGTAAGGCAACTGGTAAGTTCGAACAGCTGACCCTTTGGTTGGCAGTTGAGCACTTAACCACTGCACCACCAGGGCTCCTGTTCAACTATATAGGTTTTAAAGTAAATTATCATATAACACAAGGGTTGGTCAGTTTTTTTGCATACATGGCCAATAATAAATCGTTTGGTCTTTGTGGGCCACAGGTCTTTGTCACAGATATTCAAGTCTGCCCTTAGAGTGTTTTGGCAGCCAGTCATGTTGTTGTTAAGTGCCATCGAGTTGGTGCCAACTCATAGTGACTCTGTAGGGTTTCCAAGGAGTGGATGGTGAATTTGAACCACCGACCTTGCAGTTCAAACCAACTTCACAGTCCAGTGCATTAACCCATAGCACCAAACCTGTGTTCCAGTAAAACTTTATTTTTATCGTACAAGGTTAGATATTAAGCCAAATATAGCTTAAGCTATAGGATTGGGTGACAGGTTTCCTACAGTCAATTGAAAGTGTGTCTTTGTCGGCTGTTGGCACACAGCCTTTGACCCTCTTGTGGTAAACGTTAAGAACTAAAAAATATTTCAGAATCATTTGAAATATTGCTGACTTAGAATGCCCTAATGTCCATCTGATCTTTTAATAATTTTTTGTCTTCTTCAGAAAATTTAATTCTTGGTAAAAAATGCTATGATAATATAATGATTTGTATGAGGGGTTTTTAGTTTGAGCTTTTGAAATAATACAGCTTCCTTTTATTTACTCTATCCTCAAGTCTCTCCCTGAAAATCACTTCTTGCTCAGAGAATGATGTTAAAGCACCTGGTTGGAGAGATTCCGGCACCTGCTATTTCTGTGGGAGTTGGTGCCTTTTCTATTCCAGTGCACGTGAGCTACTGAACTGTAGAATCTAGTGTGCTGATCCAGTGCTCACCATGTATCTCTAAATGCTGAAAGAATAAGGAAATAAAAATAAAAGGTTTTCCCCTACCTAGTGTGGCACTGTGGGCTAATGCATCAGACCGCAAAGCCATTTGAACTGCAAGTATGCTGGTTCAAACTCACCAGCTGCTCCTTGGAAACCCTATACAGGGTCACTATGGTTCAGAATGGACTCGACGGCACTTAACAACAACAACAAGTAGGTCAGCCGTTCGAATTCACCAGCTGCTCCTTGGAAACCCTATACAGGGTCACTATGGTTCAGAATGGACTCGACGGCACTTAACAACAACAACAAGTAGGTCAGCCGTTCGAATTCACCAGCTGCTCCTTGGAAACCCTATACAGAGTTGCTAAGAAGTGGACTGACGAGGAAGCATTTAGCAACCACAGCGCTTACAGTGTACAACTACGATATACATTTCATACAAGTATTTGTTTGTGCATGTGTAGATGTTTAATTTGCATCATTCTATGCACTAGTGGCTATCCTTCATTAAATATAAAATATATCTCCTTGTGTCAGATAACTTTCCCCAGATGGCCCATCAGAAGCGGTTCATTGAACGGAAATACAGACAAGAGTTAAAAGAAATGAGGTGGGAAAGAGAACATCAAGAGAGAGAACCGGATGAGACTGAAGACATAAAGAAATAAAGAAGGCCGGGGAAGTGGTGGCGTATTTACTTGCTTAATAACTGTGACTGTTGCCCATTGAGACCTAGCCTAGTTTTCCTGCAGACAATGAATGAAGTGTGGCCATTGAAATAAAATACAAAGTCAACGACTACTGTGGTTTTACTAATCTAATTCTCGCTTTTCAGCAGGTTGGCCTTTACTACAAAGTATTTAATTTCTCTGCCTCTTCATGGAGAACTTCACATTGGTGGATGTGATGTGCATATTCTTTCTTATTTTGTTCATTAAACGGAAAAAGTCAAGAAGCATATTCTATATAAAATAGATCCTTTTTTCTATCTTGATATTTCATATTGTGACTCCAGACCTCCAGCTGATAAGTGAAAAATGCCCTTTGCTAGATATTTTGACTACACTCTATACTTGTGTACTTTTTGAAATATGATTACTAACTAGATTTTTTAGCTTTTCTATGGATGTTTATCACATTCTTAGCTGCAAATTTTGAACCTGTCCCTCTCGAAGCAGTGAGCCTGTGTAGAATGAATTATTTAAAAATTTAACCAGGAAAAAGATGTGGTATTTGAGTCACATATATTCTTTGAATCCTTAGAATGGGGACGGGCCATAATCCTAGATTAGATGACACTTAAAACCAGGTGCTATAATCCATGGGTCAGTGGAACGTTGAGGGTGTTTGTAGACAGGCTTCAGAAAAGTCTGCGAACCTCCTGGAATTATATTTAATTCTGTGTTTGAGTTTGGGAGCTCTGGAAGGGACAGGTTCATAGAATTTCATCTGGCTTCTCAAAGTGGCCTCTGCCCTAAAGGGCTAGCTGGCATTACATTAAAAGAACAGTTTTTAAAAACGGTATTTCAAACTGAACTTCACTGGTGTCTTATTAATAAAGGCAGAACTTCTTTTTTAAGTACAAATGTGTTTCTGTTCATTACTTCAGTATATAATATATTGAGTGCCTATTATGTTTCAGGTAATGTTCTAGGCTCTGGGGATATGGCAGTGAACCGAAAAACAAAACAGAAAATACTTGTTTAAATGTCCACAGGCACACTTTGCAAGCCAGCTTCCTCCCTGCAGGCACACTGCCTTTCTTAGTCTGTGGGCCTAGAGTCCTTTGCTGCTCTATGTCTCTATACCATCATCACCTCTGCCACCGTCTCTGCTGTGACTGCTTTTCTGGGTAGGATCCCAAGCTCCTCTCATGCTCTTCCCTCATGATGGTTCTAGGGTCCCCCTTTTAGTTACATATCGTTTACATTTAGAGTTGTGAAACTCTCAATAAAATAACACTTAAAACTGGATTGTACTACTACTGCTGCTGCTGCTGCTGTTATGTGCCGTGGAGTCGGTTCCGACTCATAGCGACCCTGTACAGGGTTTCCGAGGCTGTAAATCTTTATGGGAGCAGAAGCCTCATCTTTCTCCCGGTGGAACAGCTGGTAGTTTTGAACTGCTGACCTTGAGGTTCACAGCCCTATTCACAACCACTACGCTACCAGAGCTCCTTACTACTACTACTACTACTATTAGCTCAAAATACCAACAGAGAGGGAAGGAATCTTGACATCAAGTATCAGTGCTCTCCCCTCTGTAGATTGTTGGTAGATTGTTGTTGCTTTTAAGTGCTGTCTGAGTAGATAGGGACAGGTAAATTAGACATTGGCTAGCTAAAATAGGGGGTGATAAAGGCACGAAGTGACTGGCTTACAAGGTTACAAGAGGGAGTTTAGTTTAAGAGTGTGTGTGTGGGGGAAATAGAGTTGCCATTGAATAGTTTTCATCTTGTCTAGATGGGTCTGGTAAAAAGAGATGGGGATGAGATTCTTATGATTCAGTGAGTAATTGTTATCATGAGTAATTGTGACTCAGAATTGTCAAGGTAGAAGTTCTGTAACAAAATTGGAGGAGTAGTTAATGTTACATTCCAGAAACAGGACACTAGGGACCTTCAAGGGAGAAGAGAACAAGTGGAATGCGGGACTTTATCCAGAGAAGCAGCAACACCAGAGATGGAGGCAGAGGTAAGGACATGGAGAGAGGGAGCAGCTGAAGATTCTAGATTCATGGAAAGAGAGGGACTGAGAGCTGGCAGCCAGGAGTCAGAATTGCAGAATGTGCCCTTTGGTTGTTTAAATTATTATATATGAGTGACAGTTAAAAAAAAAAAAAAAAGAGCTAACTTGAATAGAGAGAAATACTGTTAACTGATGGTACATGGAGGATATAGCCTTTGTAATGAAACAAAGTATATGATTTGTTTAATGTAAAACTTTTGATCTGTCCTGTAAACTTCCACTCAATTCACAATAAGAACTTAAAAAAAAAATTTTTTTTTAAACAAAAGGGAAAAACTGAATTGTAAAATCCTATCAACTTCCTCCCATATACCCTTTCACCAGACCCTTCTGAAGTAGAGGAAAACTATTCAGTGGGGATTCTACCTTAACCACCTTGTTATGAAACTAAGCACACTCATGAAAGCTTGTAAGCCAGGCACTTCATGCCTTTTGTTGTTGTTGTTGTTAGGTGCCATCAAGTCACTATTGACTCATAGTGAATTTATGTACAATAGAACGAAACACTGCCTGGTCTTGGGCCAACCTCACAATTGTTGCCACGCTTGAGCCCATTGATGCTCTACTTTGCCAATCCATCTCACAGGGTGTCTTTTTCTTTTTCTCTGACCCTCCACTTTACCAAACATGATATCCTTCTCCAGTAACTGGTCCCTCCTGACAATTTGTCCGAAGTATGAGGGATGAAGTCTGGTGATCCTGGCCTCCAAGGAGCACTCTGGCTGCACTTCTTCTAACAGATCTGTTTGTTCTATGGGCAGCCCATGGCACTTTCAATATTCTCCTCCAACACCATAACTCAAAAGCATCAATTCTATGGTCTTCCTTATTCACTGTGCATGATCCACACAATTGAAAGCCTTTGCATAGTCAATAAAGCACAGGTAAACATCTTTCTGGTGTCCTCAGCTTTCACATACATATAAGGTTATTGAAAATACCATGGCTTGGGTAAGGTGCACCTTAGTCCTCAAGCTGACATCTTTGCTCTTCAACACTTTTAAAAGGTCTTGTACAGCAGATTTGCCTAATGTAATACGTCATTTGATTTCTTGACTGCTGCTTCCGTGAGTGTTGATAGTTGATGCAAGAAGAATGAAGTCCTTGAGAACTTCAATCTTTTCTCCATTAATAAGAATATTGCTTATTGGTCCAGTGGTGAATATTGTTTACATTGAGATGCAATCCATACTGAAGTCTGTGGTCTTTGTTCTTCATTAGTAAGTATTTTAAGTCCTCTTCAGCAAGCAAGGTTGTATCATCTGCATATTGCAGGTTGTTAATGAGTCTTCCTCCAAACCTGATGCCATGTTTTCTTCATATAATCTTAGGCATTAGTGTGTTGAAATGGACTGGTATTGGCCATTTTGAAATGACAACCACATGGTTTACTATGCAGGGAATGACAAATTGAAGAGGAATGGTGTTGCATTTATCCTCAAAAAGAACATATCCAGATCAGTCATGAGGTACAATGCTGTCTGTGATAGGATAATATCCATGAGCCTGCAGGGAAGCCCAATTAATACCACTATTATTCAAATTTATGAACCAACCACTAAAGCCAGTGAGGATGAAATAGAAGAATTCTACCAATTTCTTCAATCTGAAATCGATCAAATATGCAGTCAAGGTGTATTGATCATTACTGGTGATTGGAATGCAAAGGTTGGAAGCAAAGAGGAAGGATCAGCAGTTGGAAAATAATGGCCTTGGTGATAGAAATGATGCTGGAGAACCCATGATAGAATTCTGCAAAACCAGTGATATGTTCATTTCACATACCTTCTTTAGACAGCATAAGAGATGACTGTGCACATGGACCTCACCAGATGGAATACATAGAAATCAAATTGACTACATCTGCGGAAAGAGATGATAGAAAAGCTCCATATCATCAGTGAAGACAAGGCCAGGGACAGATTCGTTGTTCCCGTTAAGATTTACAATCTCAGAAACCCTATACAGGGTTGTTAGTAGTCGAAAACTACTAGATGGCATTTAAACAACAACCACCTCCCAATTAAAGCAGTCCGATGGTGCAGTGATTAAGCATTGGGATGCTAACTGAAAGGTGGGTGGTTCTTACCCACCAGTGGCTCCATGGAAGACAGATCTGTTTCTGCAATGATTATAGCCTTGGCAACCTCATGGGGGCAGTTCTACTGTGTCTCAGGTGGTGGCTCTGAATCCAACATCACCTTGATGGTATCTAACGACACCACCTCCTTATTAAGGAGCCTGGATGGTACAAGTCCTTTGTGATCAGTTGTTACCATAAAAATTGGCAATTTGAACAACAAGTCGCTCTGGAAAAAAGGTCAGGTGAACTGCTCCCATAAAGATCGTTGTTAGGTGCTGTGAGTCAGTTCCAACTCTGAGCAACCCTCCCATGCACAACAGAAGGAAACATGGCCGCACCTTCCCTGTCCTCACAGTCCTTGTTATGCTGGGGCCCATTGCTGCTGCCACTGGGGCACTCATCTTTGGGAGCTCTTCCTCTTTTCTACTGACCCTCCACTTTACCAAGCATAATGTCCTGTTCCCAGGACTGGTCCCTCCTAATAACATGTCCTAAGTATGTGAGACGAAGTCTTACCCTCCTGGCTTCTAAGGAGCATTCTGGCTGTACTTCTTCCAATACAGATTTGTCAGTTCTTCTGGCAGTTCCTGGTATTAAGAAACCCCCATAGAGCAGTTTTAATTCATAACACTAAGTCAGGGGTTGACAGCAGCTACCCACAACTTCCTCTTCCCTATGTGGCGTTCTGAGCATTATATTTAAGTTTTATCAGCAGCAGATGATAGTAGGCCTGTTTTGGAATGAATGCTGCATTCATACGGGGCCTTGAAAAGGGTGTGAACAAAACCAAAAAAAGCGGAGGGGCAGGTAGAGATATTTGAATATTTTCAAACGAGCACTTTGACTAGTTTTGTATGTGCACTTAAATTATACCAAGGTCAACATGCCATTAGGAAACTTGGTTTTTCCTCTCTAGTACGCTGACTCTCTCTTCAGGCAGGTGTGCTGTCCACGCGAATGCTATTTAAAACCTGGAGACGAGAAGTCCATAAAATGCTAGAGTACCTTGCTGCATTGACGCTCACCAAGCCCACTATCAGGGCAGACTAGTTCTGAGGACTCTGTAGAGCAATGATGAGGCCAACAATCCACTCCTGTAACTAATCATACACCCAACGCAGCAGGCCAC